CAGAGACTTAATGATGCTATCTGCAGAGAAAATATCAAACATTATCAAATTATTTCACTCTCGTTATGGCTGAATTTTCCAGCTTGACATTTTTGTAATCTGGAAGATGTTGGGTAATTCAAAGGAGGCAATGTCAAATTTTCAGACATTTTAGAGTTAGTGCTTCTCTGGGGTATTCCAAGATAAAACACATGGAAGTTAACATGATGAGAATAGATGTTTAACATACATATAATTGGGAGAATTGTGGGATACCAACAGGAAGTGTGGAGGTCAGAGAATCTAAATCCAATTTCCAATTCACACGAAAGCTGTGTGAGCTGGTAGATTGAGAAAACATGAATTGTTAATGTTCTATCTGGTTCTTGTAAGTTACTCATTTATCTCACTAATTATTTGCCTTGTGTTGTTTCTAAATGTCTGTACAAGGGTTAGTTGGTATTAATAAACAATTAGGGCTTGGGCATCTGTTGCAGCAGAAATGTTTTCTCTGTATCAGGTTTCTTTGGTTTCCTTTAGAGATGGTAAAATGGGATCAAATATGGTCCTACATCAAAAGGATTGTCAGCCCAAGCATCCAGGACTCGAACCATCCATCCAATACAGTTGGTTAGTTTAGAAGCTTCATAGCTATCTTGTGTTTCACATTTTAGGTTCACATTTAGGTTTCACATTTTAGATTGAGCTGTTCACACTTCAGTTGTTTGTTTTGCTATGTATGAGGTGTCACACTGCCACTTTACCTGTTTTCCATCTGAAAGTGAACTGATCATATTGATTAGATATTACTTCTGAATCACTGACCTCTTTCTTTTATGCAGTTCAAGTTGGTGAGGAGGCTGTTTGCATTCTGGGATTTCTGTCATATTTTTGTTTTGGGTGTTTGTTTGGGTTGGGTTTTGTTTGTTTGTTGTGTTTTTCAGGAGATTAGTTGATCAATGAGCTGGCAGAAGTAGCTTTATAAGCTAGTTTGTTTGGATCTGACCAAACCAAGTTGAGGACTGTAAACTCATAAAACCTGAAGTGAAGATGGTCAGTCATCTACTCTTCTCATTGTTTTTGAGAATTCATGGCATGGTTTAATAATTTTTGATACAAGTTTGTACCCTGCCTTTGTGAAGTATACACTGTATTACCAAAGCTGACTTAAGATTAACCTGATGTTTGTAAAAATGTAAAAAATTTCTTTATTAGCCTTATAGATTGTAATTTTCACTATTCATAGCATCAGAGTTAATATGGATCTTAATTCTGATTGCCTTTATCTTCCTACAAATGTAGCTTGTTGAGATTCTTTAGCAGGCAGAAAAATGGGGGGAAATTACAGTGTATTTATGTGCTATTTCTACAGTGCATTTGCAAACAGGATTAGAGAATACAGTCTGTTTTCTTATTTCTCACTCCTGCCTTTTTTTAAAATCAGTCTTTTATATCTGGTCTGTGGCATTTCTGTTCTACAGGGAAAATGCAAAGCATATTTTTGTCTAGTCTTTAAAAAAGTGTAACAAAAACTCAGTTGTCATTGCAGTGGAAAAAATGGCATTATGTATTAATGTAAATAGCTCATGCAAAAAAATCCAAAATGCAGACACATATGCACACATAGGAACACACACACACTTACCTGTATATAGCATGTTTACTTTACAGGCTTAATATTGGAGTCTTTTTTCCAGTATCACTCACTATTTCCTCTCATCACTCTTCCTGAAATTTCCAGGGTGTTGTGTGCTTTTAATTTAATGAAGAAACTTAACTTTGGGTTTAGGGTTTATTTATAATGACTAGAATGCAATTTTTGAAAGGTTACTCAGTTTATATTCTTAAGGAGCTGATGTACTTAAAAGTTGATTAACAAGGCATATATTTTAAAATCAGAGACAGCAATATGATTAATGCTCAGCATTAAAAGGAGTTAGTTTGTTATTTTGAAGAACTCTATTTCCTGACACAGGCAAGTAAGAAGTACTTACTTAAGAAGTCAGTTTATTTCTGAAACAAGTTGACAAGGGGGAGCTACTTTAGAAATGCAAATTTAAAACCAAATAATTAATTTAATTGCTATATGGACTTGTTCCAGTTCTTTCAAATGAAGTTTTTTATAAATTGTGGCAAGTAGTTGGCCATAACTTGAGGCTGTTTTTTTAAATCAAACTAAAAGTAAAAAACATAGCATTTAAACATAAACTTTCTGCTGCTTCTAGTTTTGTCCCCTTCATATCTCCTATGTCATGAGAGACAATGGGAAAATTGAAGGGGATTTAGCAAAGGGCCACCAAGGTGGTTAGAGGGTTGGGGAACTTGACTGATGTAGAAATGCTGATGGAGCTCTGTTTGTTGAACCTGAAAAGGTGAAAGTTCTGAAGAGGGGAACCTAATCACAGCCTCCCTGAAATGTAGCTGCAGAGAGGATGTTCACAGTTGCCCTTATGAGGGTGCACAGGAACAGGGCAAAAGGCAGCAGGCTCAGGTTGCTTCAGGGGGAGTTCTGTCTCTGTAGAACAAGTCTGCACCATGAGAACAGCAGAATACTGGACTAGGTTCCCCAGAGAAGGAGTGAAATACTCTGCTTGACAGAGCCCTGGGTAACCCAACATAAGGCTCTGTTTTTCAACAGAAGTTAGACCAGGTGGTCTCCAAAGGTCCTTTTCAACCTACATATTCCCCATAGTTCTGTCAATCTGTCTTTCTCTGATACTGAAGCACATATGGAGAAGGGACTAGGCAGGCTGTGGAACTGCAGGCAGCTTGTGGAGAATAGGAGTCCTAAGTCTTCTGATCCACTCCTCAGAGCAAAGCAACTGTACTGCCTTAGGAAACAGGGAGTAAGTGCACTTAAGGACAAAGGGGTGCCCAAGCTTCTCAAAGGAGGAATGTGACAGATGGAAATGGAGGGGAAAGTGCTGTGTGAATTTGAACTTAAGTGTTGCAAAGGGTAGCTGAACAGTTGAAGAAACCTAGGACAGGAAAAGGGGTGAACAATGAGGAAGAAAGCAGTAGCATATGGGTTTGATATGCACTTGGTGTAGTAAATGGTTTAAGCATCAAGTATATTCACCACATGTGATAAAGCTGGAGTGGCAGGACTGACAAAGCTGGAGCCTTTATATACATCTGCAAGCTGAAGGTAGTGTAGTGTGAATAGTCTTGGGTGGTTTTCTCTGGTAGTCCTGGGTTATTGAAAGGAGGAGAGCTCTCTGAAAGTAATAGGGGAGGAAAGGTACACCAGGACATTCTGGAGTGTTTTGTAGTTTGAATCACAAGAACAGGCTGGAACCTCACCACTGTTGCCTTAAATATTCAAGAAAAGAGAGAAGGGGGAGAAAAAAGTGGATTAGAGCAGGTGTTAATGTAGTTATTTGATTGTAAAATGGGCCATACAAACACAGAGGTGAAAGATACTCTTCTCCAAGTTCAACAATTTTTTTTCTTTTGTTTCAGAGAAGTTGGATTGTGTAAGTATTTTGCCTCGGTAATTCATCAAGGCATACTTAACGTTGTGGTTGCTTTTTTCTTCTACTTTATTTTCTCCAGAGGGAAGTTAGTCCTATCCTTAGACTGTTCTGGATCATTCCATTCATAGCTTCGTGCTTCAACTGTCAACAAAATTCTGTCTTAAGGTGTTTGCTTTGAAATGCAATTGAGGGCATCTCTGAAATGTCACTGCCACGTCTTGTGCAATGTGTATGTCAGACTTTGCAGTATGGTTTGGAAATTGTGAGAAAACCTGAACGAGTGCTTTAGTGTTACAGTGGTTTGTTCAGATCAGTGATTACTGCTGCCAGTACCTGTTTTAATTTACTGCTTAGATAGCTGTAGAAGACAACCACTTTATAGAGAAGGCTTGATGCCTTTACCCATGGTTGAGGATGGGGAACATAAGCACAGAAAAGGAAAGTTCCTTGCCCAGTCAACTCAAAAAAATTACTGGCACAACTAGTTAGAATCTGCATCTCAAGCAATTATTTAGTGAGTGAGTTCTTCAGAGTAGTGTGGTATTGGGAGGGGGAAAATGTTGTGGATTAAATATGACTAATGTTATATTTTTAGTAGGAACATTGAGTAACCTATCAAAGAACTTGTCTCAATATCTGGAATTGTCTCTACCCAGACTTTTATTATCCCTACTAGAGAAAAGAGATTGTTTTCTGCCATTGTCTCTTTAGCCACCTGTAAGTCCAGTTGGACTTGGATGCTTGCATGGGATACTGATTAACACAGGCTATGGGTAGTCAAGCTTGTAACAAGATTCACAGATTTCAATGTACTATAGAAATGCCATTGATCAATATAACTACCCACTGTAGTGTTTTCTAGAAGGCAAATTTAGACTAGTAGGGAAAAGTGGTGTAGCCCCCAAAGAGCTGCTGCAGTGCCACTCAGCTATGATTATTTTTAGAGGTAGCTTGAATTTAATCTAAGGATTTGAAGGTTTGGTAGTTTAAGGCTGGATTTTTTAGAGGATTTTTTTTTCCATTGGTATATTTCTTACTGTTATTATGGACACCTCTCTAGCCCTATTTTCTTCCAGAATAAATCCAATCCAAATAGCTTAATGTGTGTGATAAATTCAGAAGACTGTACTTTTACAAGTGCTTAAAAAAAGTGTTTCTTCTGTATCTCAGCATCCAAGGGTGGGAGGCAGAATAGTTTGATAAATTTTGACAAACAGCATGCTATTTTATAAAATGTTACTGGATCAAGCTGTCAGGTGCCAGAGACTATATATCCTACTTTTGTAGCTGAATATAAATTTTTTGTTTTTATAAAATTATCATTGGTTGAATACTTTGCCTTTTAGAGAATCCTGGAAATACTACATCCTGTGCAACCATCAGCTCACTGCTTTGAGGCTGTATAAATTCAAATTGTGGAGCAGAGTTGGTTCATAATCTTTTTTTTCTCATGAGTTTTTTCTAGAGCAATAATGTGAGGTGATTCATTTGCTTATTATTACTACTCTGTTAAAATTTCTGTAAATATCTCTGTCTGATTTATAGGTAGTAGCTCAATTCCAAATTTCTTTCACATAATGAAGCGACAGTTTACTGAAACAGAGTGGGATGTAATCAAGTCCATGAGTAATGAATGGATGCAGCTGGATATGTTTTATCGGCACTGGGTAATACTTCTTTTCCTATTTAATGTCTGCAAATATTCACATTCTTTTCTGATGTAATTTTTTATTTTCATTATAGTAAAAATGTAATCTTTTTGTATTTGTGTAGAATCATAGAATGGTTTAGGTTGGAAAAGACATCTAAGACCATCAAATCCACCACTAAACTATGTCCCTAAGCCCACCTCTACCCATATTTTAAAGAATTTCAGAGTCACTCAATCACTTCCCTGGGCAGCTTGTTCCAGTGCTTGAAATGCCATTTGATGAAGAAGTTTCTCCTGTTATCCAGTCTAAACTCCCCTGGTGCTGATACCATTTCATGTGAAGACATTTGTGGACTTTATATTTCAGTGATTATTTTAATATTAGAATAACTTTGAGAACCATGGTACAGCTGACATTTCCAATGGGATTTATTAGTAGTTTTAAACACATAGCCAAAACAAGATAAAGCATTTATATCTCTATGCGCCACTGAATAATTTCAGTTGCATATTTATTTTAATGCAGCAGGTTAGGCTGGGTATAAACTATGCTGATAACTTTTTCTCTTGATAATTTCATCAGTCTACCCTCACATTTACAGTAGTGTAAGTCTTAAATTTATTTTATCTGCAATGTGTGCTCAGAAGTAATGTTTATAGAGCAGTAAATAGCAGTTTAAAAAACAGCTTGTAGCCAGTATAAATAAAATACATTTTTGTCTTTTAGGCCTTAAAAGAAAGCTTCTTAAAGGCCATTGGAGTTGGAATTGGCTTCAACTTGCAAAGAATTGAATTTAATGTGTCTCCATTGCAACTGGAAATAGGAAAGGTGTCTAAGGAGACAAAGATGTTTCTGGATGGAGAAGAAGAAGAGGAGTGGACATTTGAGGTAAAGAAAATGTTTTCACTAGTGATAAGCAGTCTCAACTCCTTATCATTGCATTGCATGTTCGTTGCACGTTTGTTTGGTTTTTTTTTAATTGCAGCTTTGCCTCTTTCCTCTGTAGAGCCCCATTGAGCTTATATTAATCAAAACTTAAAATATAAATCTGTAGCATTTTAAAGATTTTTTTAAGATTGCAAAGACGCCCCATAGATGGATTAGTCATAATGCCTTTTTGGTTTTTTCTATGTCTGGAATATACTTCCTGCACTCTGGGAAGGACATTCCTATGCAGGAAGTTCACAGAAATATATTCCAGCCTGATTTCTTGAACAGGTCTAAGATTCTAAATTTCTTCATCAGAAGGTGTAGAATTGTTGGTCTCAATAGTCTGAGTCTTAGAGTTTAGGCTTTTGTTTTCCTCCTTCAGAGTTACTGGGGCTTATCACTAAAACATCTGTCCTTTCAGATTTGGTAATCAATTATCAGTGTCATCTTGGGTAGCTTAAAGGATGCATAGGGAAAAAACAGATAGGGACATGTTTACTGATGGACCTGGCAGTGCTGGGTTAACAGTTGGGCTTGCTGGCATTGAAGGTGTTTTCCAGCTGAGATGATTCTGATTCATAATGTTCTCAAATTATTTAATTACCTAAAACAAGCTTTAAAAACAAAATAAATGACAATCCCATATCTCTACACCCCAGAGGCATGTTTATTCAACCCCTTTAAACAAAGCAAAAAATGGCACAAACTGTCAAGTGCACTTTTCAGTAAGATTATTCAGTTTCAAATACATATTTGCATTTTGAAAATACCTATATTGTTGGAGACAGCTGTTCCAATAGAGCTGTCTGAATGACTACTTTCTGCTGTATGTTTATTTTCTTTAGTATACAAACTACATGTACCCTGTGGATGTGGTCTGAAGGAATGAATGTTCCAGTAATGTTTAATTTCAGAATATAAGGTTTTTCTTCACAGTTCATTCCTTCATTGAGCACTTCTATCCATTTTTGGTTTTGTGTTAGAAGTCTACGCATACTAAATCAGTCCCCTTACTCAATTCCTATATAGTATAACAATATTAGTATGTCATGGAATTCACTAGTTGGAATTACACTGGCAAAAGAAGTTATTGGGAAGTTATTGGGAAAGCCTGTGGTAGGTCTTGTACCAGAATGCTTTCTGTGTTCCTGCAGTGACCCATGGCCAAGGGAACATCTGCCTGTCTTCACTGAATTCTGGAACTCCTAATTTTGGTGTTCAATGTGCCTATGGTTCATTGACAGAAATAGCCTGTAGACGATGATGCAGATAGCTCCCTGTAATACTTAAATGCTTTCTAATTGTTTGGATTTTTTCCTACTACTTAGTAATTACTGCTAGAACATTCATGCAGTTTTTGTCTGAGGGATGTCTCCACTTCCAAGCTTGCCCACCTGCTTCCCAAAAGTACAGTATTATAATGAGGCAGATTCTTGTATTTCAAAGAAAGGGCTTAATATCAAGTTTCCTTTAGATACAAGCTCAATTGGGATATAATTTCATTTAAATATCAACATTCATTAAAATTAAATAAATAAAATGCTGTTCAGTTACCAAGCTCTGGAGAGCCAAAAATTAAGCATAGCTTTACTTTTTTGTCTCTTCCCAAGTTTTCTTACTTAGAACAGTCTTTTTTTTGTCTCATCACATTTTTGAAATAACCTTTTAGTTGAAAACACTAATTTTGAGAAATCTGAAAGTGTCACTTGTAAGACTACATATTACTGATACAGTCTTTTCCTTAGGTTCCCTGTTGTGCCAGTTTTACTTTAGGGAGCTTTTTCTATCAAATAAAAAAATATAATGACCTCACTTCTACATTCCAGAACTGCCTAAATCTTAGTGAAAGGAAATGATCAAAGAGAGCAAGACTCTTTAAAATTCAGTTATCACATATTTTTGATTGATTCATTTCAGTTTTTAAGAGAAAGATTTTAAAGCCTCTCTTTAAAGAGAAGCTAATTTACTAAAAATGGAAGGGAGAAATAAAGGGGATTTTATCCAATTAAGTTACACAAAATATTCTGAAATCTCCTTCAGAAAGTACCATGTAATATGAAAAAGATAACTTTAAATTCATAAAGACCAAGAAAAGATCCTCCACCTTATACTTGTCATGACTAAAAGGTCAAGAGAAATACTAATGAATCAGAACAAATCAAAGTTGACACTATTTAGACACCCTGTAACTGTTCACAGTCAGAGGAAAGCCAGTTCAAATTGGAGATAGAATTTTCTGTGAACAGTGCAGAAAGGTTTCTCTTATTTCATTGTAAATACCAAATTAACTACTATGTAGTTAATAGTTGACTGTGTGTGGTCCTTTCACCAAGGGCTTAGTTTTGCTAGAAGTATCTTTGCCCTCTTTCACACCCCGCATTTTTTGGCTTCAATGGAAGGCAGTTGATCAGAAATAGGCTCTTCTTGTTTGGTCTTGATGGAAGGATTTAGCTTGAGGTTTTGTATATTTGTATATATCTTGGTTTTGTATATTACTCTAGAGATTGCTACGCAGATTCCCTTCAGCTGTTTTGGAAGGAGTTGGAGGAAAAAAAAGCTTTGTTTAAAAGCATCAATTTCATTTTAAGATATGTCTGCTATACGTGTTAAATATGCTTTATTCATATAGACAATACATGCTTTCCTCATTTTAAAAAGGTGACTTTAGCTATTGCTTAACAAAGGACAGCTAGCCCAGTGGAGAGTGATAACAGTATTTTGTCAGGGTGTTGATTTAGGATGGAGTCATTGTGATGATGGTGATGATGATGATTATTATGGGTAATTCTGTATGCTCCGTTTACTTCCTTTGAAGAAAATAAACTTGGAAAATTGTACTAGTTTTATCTCTGGTACAGTTAATTTTCTTCTTAGTAGCTGGTGTAGTACTGTGTTTTGAATTCAGGATGAGAGTAGTGCTGTTAACACATGGAAACAAAGTCAAGGACTCCAGTTTCTCATAGTACCCTGCTGTGTGGTATGAGCTGCCTGCCACTATGACAAGAATGAAGTAATAGTTAATTCTAGTGAAAACAGAAGAAGTTGATTGAAAACAGCTATGACAAGTTCTATAATTTAAAGAGATCAATGCAAGTTTATAAGATAGACAAATTTGTAGCAGATCTTAAATATGGAAAAATATATTGGCACAGGAAAAGGTTTCCCAGAGAACTTATGGATGTCCCATCCCTGGAAGTGTGTAAGGCTAGATTGGATGGGGCCCTGAGCGACGTGGTCTTGTGGAAAGTATCCCTGTCCAAGGCAGGGGTGTTGGAATGAGATGATCTTTGAGGTCCCTTCCAATGTAAGCCATTATATAAGATTATGAAAAATAAATTCCTAGTTAGTGATTTGCAAAATGTTAAATATATTCGTGACCCTTTCCTTATTAGTCCCAGTTGTGTACAATTAATCAGGAAGAATAACTGGATAGTACTTACTGGAATCGATGTTAAAGAAGAATCTTAAATGAGACATAACACTTATTTTTGAACGTACCTCAATTTTGGATACAATTATTTCATACAGGAAGCACATGATTTATCCTAAACTTTGCTCGGGGATTAAGAATCACCTGTTGGGACTGCTGTTGCACAGATAACATTTTGCATTTTTTCACAACAAATATTTGCTTGATTTGTTTATATGCAAATAAATTACTTCCAGAATATGAATTTCAAAGAGAGATTACCTGGGTCAATTTGAAACATATTTAGTAATTGCTGGTGTGCAACTGTAGTTGGCATCTTTCACCCTCAGTAAGAGAAGTTAATCCTGTTGCATTGTCAGGAATAAATAAGAATAGAAACTTTCATTTCTAAGACTAGCTAATCCAACTGCATTCACTCATCAATCAGTTCTACTGGCTGGGAAGGTACAGATGCATCATAAGCTGTCTGTTGTTGAGTGAATTCATAATGATTTGAATTCCAGACACATCATTCTGCCAAGTCTTTGAAATGAGATCATTGTAAATCTCTGTGTGCTCTAGTAACACTTTTGTTCTGTGCAGACAAAAACAAATTTTGGTCCATTATATGACTTCTGGTTTATAGAGACGAATCTTAACAGAACAATCTCTCTACCCTGAAGGAATTCTATAGGATTGTCCTCTTTTTGTTAATTATCTATTTCCATTTAAGATACTAATTTTATAAGCTGGTATAGCAATATCTCCAGGGAAACAAGCTGATCCACTGTTTTTTATAGTTTCAGTATGTTTCATTAATTCCATTGCTTAAGGTTTTTGCTGGCCACTAGTAAAGGCCAGGAAGGATGTTCCTTTCTGTATTTCATCTGGATTTACATTGCTCTGAAACAGCAAAGATAGATGAAGGGCATAGTTTATGTTTTATTGTAAGATGCTGAAAACTCTCTTGAGACCACAGAGGATACATGAAATAAATGAAATGGAACCTTTTTCATTTACTGTTCATTGGGCAGGGTCTCTGCAGGGAAGGTCTATCTAAACAATCACTGCCTGTTAAAGGCAGCTTTGAACTGAAAACACCATTATTTTGCTAACAATATGTGAAATAGCATCTATAATAGGTTTTTAGTTGAACAAACAAGAAGTAATATAAGTTGACCTCTTAGCTGATAAAAAGAAAATTCTGTGCTTAAAGCTGTTTGCAGATTTCTGATTACAGGTGTAAGCCACTGCTGAATGTGCTGTACTGTGCCCTCTGTTCTGATCTGTCTTTGACCTCTTGGACGTGCAAAAAAATGAAGAAGGGTGGAAAATGAAGCAATTAAAAAGAGGATACAGTAATTTTTCCATCTAGAAGAACACAAAACACTGCCACCCCAGAACTATAGAAATGGTTTAGCAACACCTGATCAAGCATCTAGTATTCAGAGTCTTTCTTATTTTTGAGGAAGTTACAGAAATGTACACACTGACTACAAGTGTTACCTCTGAGATAGCATTCTTTATGCTTGACTTACTTGCAGTTTTGTTTCCTAGTAAAGGAGTGGAAAAGCCAGTAAAACACCCCATAGGAAGTACATTAATAGCTCTTGCAGTCATATAAAGTACTGCTTATTCTGTAGGTTTATTAGCTTTTCTTATATGAAATATTTTTCTTAATCTAGACAGAATTGAAATATTCATTTTCTTACTAGCACTTTGCAGAAAGGTATGACAGCACAGGCTTGATGGTGGTTTTTTTTAAGTAGGTGAGGTTTCTAAAGTTCACTGCTAAAGCTGTCAAATGGGCACAGTTTTGGTGCTGAAGAGATCAAAGTAAAAGCACAGTTCTATTTCCTCACCAGCACCTCTCAGCCAAGGCACTGTCTTTGCCAGACACGTCCACCAACCTTACAGTTGTCCTGGTTCTACACATGACTGGAGCAGCTGCTGCCTTGGCTGGGCTGGGCTGAGTAGGCTTGAGCTAAGCAGCTGGGCTTTTTTCAATATACATATATATGTTTTTATATCTATAGATATATATGTATGTATATACAGGGCTGTTTTGGAATCACAGGAATGGTATCCTGGCAACTGAAGCCTTTGAAAATTCTGCATAGTAGATGAACTGTAGAAAAGCCTGATGCCCACTGACACCATTCTTCTAAAAGACATTTTGCTTAGATTAAAAGGGGAGAAAAATAAGGCAACCAACAACCTGTCAGAGGAAATAGGAGAAAATCATGGTGCTTTCTTTATATTATAATATAGCGCAGTTAAAATATTTCCCAAGGAAGCCAAAATTGGAGATTCAGTCTTAAGTCCCAGGAGAATATCCCAATGACTTTCTAATTTTCAGATTAATGGCAATATCAAAATCTATCACCTTCCTAGGTAAAATTCTTGTTATTCTTGATTTCTAGTTTAGAAAGTGTGCAGAAATTGCATGAAAACTTTTGAATAAATAAGCAGGGAAAATTTTATTTTGTCCCCTTAGATATATATATTTTTAAAGTCAATGGAATTATGGCTTGGCTATAGAATAAGCATTATTCAGAAACAGTAAATGTCTTTGGGGTTCTTTTTCCTGAAATTGTTTAGGATAAATTTTTAGTCTTTCTAGAAGAAAACACTTTCAAACCAAACTATTAAATAGATAAAACACTACATTACTAAATATATAGTTATACATCTAAAAATTGTGGATTAGTGTTTACACATAGCAGTACACAGACTATGTCAGGAATTCAAAGTTGTGCTCTTACATGCTGTCTGAAGCCAAGAGGGAAAGAGTCATTGGTTTAAGTTTACACTGACATCACTGTTTTTCAGAATACCTTCTTGAGGTTCACAGTTCATCTCCCTGGAAAACGATAACTAAGATGGGTTATATGGTTTGGGACTTAGAAGGGACTGGTAAAGGAATGCTTAGGTCACAAACTTGAATATAAATATTTACAAATGGATAAGATGGTGGTAACCTATAGTAATCTGTCCTCAGCCCTGTGAACATTTAATGTGTCTGCATCATTGAACTGTAGGAAAACTGCTAAAAAGTACTACTGCTTTTTGAATGTCATTATTTTAAAGTATTTTAAATGATCTTGTGCTATTGTTCTGAACGATACTCTAAACACTTATATAGTCTGTACTCTGGAAACAGAGTAAAGAAAATGCATTTACATTGCCATTCTTCATCTCTACTAGGAAACCCGCTTGGATGACAATCATCATGTTGCAGTGGCACTTGGGAAACAGGAGGGATTTGCACAGAAGGATTCTGATGTAAGGAATTGTGAAGTAGTTCCATTTCTTGGTGATCACTTGAATATAAACTTAGGCTGTAGCTAAAAGTGTGTCATCTCATATACAGGGCCAAGAAGAAGGCTTATCTTAGGCATAGTATTAACCAGAACCAAGCAGTGTTACTGAAGTGTTTCCTCTAGTTCTGTTGTGCCTATTTCAGGAAAGGTCTGTGAAGGAGAAATAGTTTCAAAGGATAGCAACAGATAATGTCAAGTCTGTAATGCATGTATTTAATGTGTTCATTCAAGAGAAGATTAAGTGATTTTTGTCACAGCCTGCTAGTACTCATGTGGGAAAGATGGTTTTCACAGAGGGAAATGGAAACAGTGAACCAATCTGGACTGCTAAACTTGGTGACACCTCACCAAACTGATTATAGTGGGGGACTGTCAGTGTGTGTATCCCAGAGCAGATCCATCACTCAAACACCATTATGACAAGATAACCCTTGAGACAAGCAGCAACAACCAACAGATGGGAAGAACAGCAGTGTTAGTCTTTATTCCATGTGGTGTCTCTGTAGAGAGAAAGAGAAAAGCTACTTAAAAGCTTTTCATTATTTTCAGTGTAATTTAAAAAAAACCTCAGTCCTGAAAATAGCAATAAAAGTCAAATTTAAGGGACAGGCAGATTGGCAAGTTGTAGCCAAAACAGCCAGACAGTCAGCAAATGAGAGTGTGACAAATTGCCAGATTTTCTCTGTTGTTCTAGTTGCTCTCAAGAAAATTGGTTAGTTGTTTTCTGTTATTTAGATACAAAGATTCTACCAGGAACTAGAAAGAAAAAAGAAAATTAGTATAGGAATGGATAAAAGCATGGAAGTGGTAACGAACACTATCTAATCATGGTAACAAAGTCTATGTTCATGGATAGCAAAGGGATGCAGACCTTTTAACTAGTATTGGTTAGATAGAGAAAAAGAGGTGTTAAACTACCTTTGAGGATTTAATGTGATAAATCAGTGGACAAATATTTTTTAAGAAATTATGTGCATTTTTTTTGGCAGGACATACTTAAGTTAATTACCCAAGTATTCTACAGGAATCCAGGATTTTAAAGTATTGACTTTCACCATCATGGTGACTTAGCTTAAACGTACCATAGAAAAAATAGTCCTGATATCAAAGGTTATGATGAAAAGTCTTTGAATCAAGAGTCTCAAAGGCTTACTTGTCTACTGACTAAATTTATGATGGCCTAAATTTCATTATTTCAGTTTGATAAAGGAAAGTAATTTTAAGCAGAACAAGAGCACATTCTGCGACTCCCCAGTAAGGAAATTAGGTGAAAATTTATGTACTGTTGCATTGTGCCTCTTTAGGCCTCTTTCTAACAGGAACATGGAGGAAATGAACATTACCTTCTCTCTTTGTAAAAGAACCATAAAAATTATTCTATTTATTGCTAGATGTGTTGAAAGAAAAAGTTGTTGATTCTAGCTTAACGTGTGTGTAAATGTTACCCAGTTGTTTTAGGATGCCAGTGTTTGTGTCTGTTCCCTCTCTGCAATCACAGGAGTAATTCATTATGGCCTTCTTGCAGAACATCTATTTTCAGCTTTCTTCACAAAATGATGGCATGTGCCTACAATTCCCAGGAAAGACCAATTGTTATGTCAATGTACTGTAATTAAAAATCTATAGTGTCAAGAGTCTTACCAAAATGGTAGTGACTGCTATATGCATGAGGAAGCAGAATGTTTATCTGTGCTCTTAACCTAGATCTAGACATTTATCTGAGGCTAGTCTCAATAAAAGATGACTGAGTTTAAAATTCTTTATAAATCCTGTGTAGGATATAAAGCATCTTCTGTCTATCTCTTGCTGTACTTCACAAGAGTTGTGATGCATTCTGTCAGGACACGCTTCCTTCAGACAAGCATGTGCTGTGGTTCAGACTACATCTCTTAACAACTACTTAGCTCAGAGGCTTGGTTCATATTTGGTATGCATCTGTCATGTCACTTGCATGGCTCTAGGCACCACTCCTGCAGCTTTACCTCATCTACAGAATGTCAGATGAGCAGAAATGTCTCAACACCATGTCACTTGTGTAAGCACATAAAGTGAGAGGCAGCTCAATCTTTTTCACTTTCAGTCTGCATTGACAGCTAAGAGTTCTTCTGTATTGTTACAACAAGCACAAACCATTTTGTTGTCTCTGCATTTATTCTTAATACTAGCCTATTGCTCAAATACTGACGTGGAGAATTTTTGCTTTTTGCCTATTTACTGACCTACCTTCACTGATGTGACAGAAAGGGATAACAAAATCCTCAAAACTGACCTTGGACCAAGTCACCTCCAGCACTTGGATGTAAGGAAGGAAGGTCTAGATGGCACAATTTTGAACAAATTCCCCAAATCTTCTGCTGAAACTCAATGTGCTGGTATGCCTCTGAAGTGCCTGTACACCAGTGCACTCAGGATGAGGAATAAACACGATGAGTCACAGATCTGTCTGTGGCTGCAGGGTTCCAACAGCATGAGATGGTGGAATTCAGGATCCTAGCAGTGAGGAGGACTCACAACCCTTAACATGAGGACACCAAACTTTCTCCTCCTCAAAGGAGAAAGAGTGGTCCTGTGGGATAGGGCCTCAGAGGAAAGCCAAGGCCAAGAAAGCTGCTTTTGATTCAAAGATCATCTCCACTCTCAAGACAGTTCCATCTCATTGCATATGAAGTCAGGCAAAAAGGCCAGGAGGTCTGCATGGATGAACAGGCCAAACTTGGCCAACAGGCCAAACATCTGCATGGATGTCCTAGCCAAACTTGGACATAGAAAGAGAAGCATACAGAGGGTGGGAGCAAGAGTGGGTAACATGAGAAGAATACAGAAATATCTGAGCATCCAGGGATGAAGTTTAAAAAGCTAAACCTTGAAGCAGTCCAGCTGGAGAAAGATTGTCCTTCTTGGACATCCCAGCTAGCTATCCAGCACCACTAGCAGTAGTGGGGCACTATCCCAATCTCTGTGGTTCAGGACAGCACCTGAGGCAAACACTCTGTGCTATGACAGCAGCACTGCCTTGTGGTAGGACATGGCTTGGCTTATGGCTACAGTCAGCAGAAATAAGAGAGCGCTCTCCAGCTGTGGTGAATCCAGGTTTATTGGGTCCCTGGGGATTGACAACCAAAGAGAGCGAGGGAGGAGTTGCAACAGCTTACAAGGAGGGAGGGACACAGGGGAGGAGTCAGTCCTTGGACAAATAGGGTTCCAGAAGGGAGTGGGATACAAAAGATTGACTTAGGAAGAACACCAATGGGGATAACTTGAGGGTGGGGCCCTGGCCCCTGAATCAATCACTCGATGCTCTAGCTGGAAGTTTCTAGAGAGTTCTAGAGAAAAGGGTGTGAGCACCAAGTGATGGACAGGGCACTGGGGAGGGATTTGAGAAAAGGTACATTGATCTCCAAGGCAATTGGGGAGGAGTTGGGATAACTGGCAGCACAAGGGAGGGAAGGGAGAACTAGGGCAGAACCATTGCATGATAGGGGGAACAGAACAGTCCATCTTATACAGACACAACACAACAAAAGCTCAAATAGAATTTAATCTGACCAGGATGTTCAAAGCAACAAGGAGCACTTCTGTACGTGCAAAGAAGCCAGAGGGAAGGGTTTTACTCAACAAGCCTAATGTTGAAAGAGGCTGAGGTGCTGAATGCCCCTTTTGCATCAGTATTTGTTAGCAAGACTGGATGTCAGGAATCCCAGGTTGCAGGGATGAAAGAGGAAGGAGCAAGGAAGATGTGCCCTTGGAGGAAGAGGATTAGGCCAGGGAATGCTTGAGCAAACTGGATGAATGTAAGTCAGTAATATTTATGGGATACAGCTGGCATTGCAAGGCCCCTCTCAATAATCCAAAGATTATTGAGTCCCCAAATATCACGGGGACTGGGAGAAGTGCCCGAAGACTGGAAGAAAGCATAGGAGAAGTAGGACCCAGGCAATTACAGGTCTGACAGCTTCACCATGACTGCTGGAAAGGTGGTAGAACAGCTAGTCCTGAGCACCATTTCCAGGCACAGCCAATGACAAAGAAATCACCAAGAGTGGTCAGCCTAGCTTTGCCAAGAGAAAATCATGCTCTACCAACTTGGTAAATTTGTGTCATGAAATGACTGGCCTGGTAGCTGAGGTTAGAGCAGTGGGTAATTGTCTACCTGTATTTCACAGTACCTTCTGTCTCTGGCACTGTCTCTCATAAGATCCTCCTAGAAAAATGCTGAGAGCTGGGTAAGCAAACAGTGATGTATATTGGAAACTGGCTGAATGTTTGTGCCCAGGGTGTGGTGATAGAGATACAAGGTCTGGTTGGAGGCCAGTTACCACTGCTGTGCCCCAGGGGTCAGTACTGGTCCAGTCCCGTGTCACATCTTCACTAATCAACTGGATGATGGTGCAGTGCACCCTCAGCAGGTTTGCTGGTGACACCAAACTGGGAGGAGTGGCTGCTACACCAGAGGGCTGTAGTGCCACACAGAGGGACTCTGACAAGCTCATCAAAAATGAGTCAGTTTGTCTGATGTATTGAGTAGCACCACTGCAGAGGAGCCCTACTGAATTTTATGAAATATTAAACATTAAGAATAGGTCGCTCCAGCAAATGCCTATTTAGAAGAATCAGCTATATTTATGTTTGATTCATGCAGACTGTACTATCTGCCCTGCTGTCTCCAAACAATTACATTTAGAGATGGCATACAGCAGGGTGCACAGTAGTGTGCTCAAAAAAAAAAAAAAAAAAAAGAAAAACTGAAATCTTTTTCTTCTTTGAAATGTGATTTTTTTTTTCTTGGAGTGATGAACCTAACTTGGAGACTGTGAACCATCATCTCTAATATCTCAGTCCACATTTAATTGGTTTTAACACGGGGAATTGCAGGTTGATTGTGACCACTTCAGTTTTTAAGTAGCACTTGAGTCTGAGAGAAGCATGCAAAACATCAGTGACTACTGTATTAAAATGAGTACAAATAGGTACACCTAGTGGAATAAATCCTCACACAATTGACTCAAATAATCTTATCTGCTGAAGAATGAAGTACAATTTGTTTGATGGTGGTCTTTCTCTTTACTGGATTTAAATAGTCATTCTGTCATACTTGCAGCATTCTGTAGCCCTTATTCCATCAGTTTTGTGAACTGTGTTTCAACAAAAAGCTCAATTTTTCTGTGTGGCCTGTTACATACTTCTAATAGTGACTGCATAGCCTAAATGAGGTGAAGTGACATTAGTCTCAAATATAGACTGTCTTCTTTCTTCTTCAGTTAGCAATGTGTAGTTTAAATGTGACATAAAATTTTACAGGAAGAAAATTGATATTTATTGATTGATGTTGTGCTAATATGTTTTTTCTTTAGGTCCATTCCATGGAGCCTAACCAACCACAATTTACATTATTGACTTTTGAAGACTTAGTTGCATCTGGTATTCCTGTCGCACCTGAGGATTCTGCATATTGGGACAATTTCTGTTCAAAGCAGGAGGGTCCAGTGAGACAGAGTTCACATTCAAGATAAGACTGTGTTTAAGAAAAAGAAACTTGACAAAGTTCTTACGCTGTTATCCTGTTTAATTTGAAGTACATGAATAAGTGTACATATGTAAATGAAATGTATCTTTCTCTGTTTAAGCTGACAACCTGATTTTCATGACACTTCATTGGAATTCTAAGGAAGACATGTTTCCTTTCTGAAGGAATTCTGAATCAGAAGCCTAAACCAACATGCCTTTTTGCATCTCCTTGCCTGTGGTTCTTACACTTCAGTAATTATCCAGGCTAGGAACAGAAAGCAGCTGTACAATAATGTTGTTTATAATGAACAAGTGTTTATAAAAATGTGTTTCCATACTAATTTATGCTGAAACTTAAATTATGATACTGCTTTTTCTCTTACAAAAATTATTAATTTATTCTCAGATGGATGAATAAAAAAAATGCTACAAATTCTTATGCTGTACAACACTTGGTGTTTGTGTAATGCCAGGCTGTAAAGGTCTGTATTAGTCTTGGAGGTACATGTGTGGATGGGAATTAACTTACAAATATTTCATAGTCTTTTCACTTCTTATCTTTGTTTATTAAAGCTTCCTGTATTCAACTTAGTATTTGCCTTTTAACAGTTCTTTTTTGTATTTTTTTTCCTCAGGAACAGATGCAAGCCAAGCAGCAGTTCAATTTTCCTAGGCTTGCATTTGCATCAGTCATGCAGGGAAGGAAGCTCAAAGAAAAAAGAAAGCTATTTACTTTTTTCCAAATAGTCTTGTAATGTCTGATGACAGAACATTTTACTGTCCTAACATCAAATGAAGGTTTCTGGAGATCTGTAGATCTTGAGTGCGCATCTAGAGTATTTTGTCTTCTTTTTCAAAATAAATCCTGTTCTGTGCCATTACTTCTCACTCTTCTTTCTAGAAATCATAGATACAATGTGGTCCATCTAAATTTGAGAAAACATACTGAACAGAATGATCTTTGCACAAAAATAATTACCTTCTGTCCTGCAGTTAAACATAGATCTTCATTGAATTTGGGGTTGTGTACAACTAGGATGCATCCTGTATTCTGGTGTACACCATGAAAAGGAGAATCTACTTGTAGTGTAACCACTGAATCTATCCCATATTACAAAGATGAAGAAAATTTTGTGAGAGAGGATGATTTTTACAACTATTAAACAAGCATTTGGAGTTCTGAGCTCCATTGAATAATTCTGAATTCAACATGCTGCTAAACTCTCCTGCTTCCAGTGCTGATTAATTTTTTTTCCATTTCTATGAGTCTCTCATCCTGCATGCTAATCATAGTTTTTAATGTTGTGCTTTTTTTCCCCTCCAAAACTGCAAATCAGTGAAGCAATGACTCTTCCCTTCAGTCTCCACAGGGGCAAAATTAGATGTTCAGTAACTTCAAATCTGAAGTTTAAAAAAATACAGAATACCTTATATACAAATTCTAAGTCATGTATTCCAGAGTGTTTGTCTTTTAGAAAACTGAAATTCAATTTGCAATAAATAATTTGCAATCCACAGAGGTCCAGTATATGCCAATCAGTCACTGGACCCATCACTTGCAACTTTGCCAGACAGTTTGAAGTTGCCAACTTTTTTGCTATGCCAATGAATCAAACTGCAAATATGGGATGAGCTGAATAGAAGAATTTCCAATCTAGATTTCTGGGAATAAGAGAATTAATTTCATATTAGAGATTAGTTATTTTTGCATGAAAGCAGTGTCTCAAACCAGAAATTTTCTTTCATTGGAAAGAGTTTTAAAAGTATTAATGAAATTATTTATAATATTGTGCTTGCATGTAAGTAGAGGACAAGCCAATTTTGTTAAATTAGAAAATTGTGCTTGGTTTTCTTGCAAGATATATGATAGTTTTCAAGACTGTATCTAATTAGGAAGAGTTTGTTTTGGTTAGTTTTCCATTAAATAAAATCTTAGTTTAGAGTGGTTCATAAAGAATTTTCTAGAAGACTGCAGTTTCTCACGGTGTGATTTTTTTCTGTCTTTTAATTTACACTGAGGTGTTTGAAAAATAAGGTCAATCTCTTTTAATTTTAATAGCAATTAGGTTAGGTGATGGTAATGCCTTTTGAAGAACCACTTGAGTCAGGTTGTTTTACGTCATTGCAAATGGACACAATTGTTATACTTGCTTTTACCTCAGTGGGAAAGAGCAGCTAGATCATTATGGAATGTTTGGCTAAAAGCATGCTGCTAAAAGGCCAGCAGGACATTCTGACTCCTTATGAATGTGAATGATTCTTAAAGTCAGAAGTAAGTTTTTCTGGATATCTGTGCTGTGGAGGCACATACTGAAATAAGTGCTGTTAGTGTGTACAAATAAATTGATGTTATTTCACAGTTCTAAGATAAATTTCTTTTTTAATTCACCATCACACTTTTTGCTGATAAAAAAGATAATTGAGCCTTTTCCCCAAACAAGGCCACAACACTGACATTTCCACAGAATACAGAGCCAATGGCCACAGAACCCCTCTGCCATTTGAGAACAGCTCCAGCTTCCCTTGCTAGGGTCAAGCTGTCAGCCCAATCCAGGGTAGGTGAGCTGACCTTTGCTGTCTCCCATCATTCTTCTGTCCCATTTACATCTAAAAGCCTCAGGGCCTTTCTTTTCCTTCTCCAGAGCTCCATTCTTCCATCTGTTTTGTTTTCTATATAGTGTCCTTGACATAGCTGTACCACATGCCTGTGAGGGTAAGAAGCTGTAAAAACACAAGCTCTGCTCCACATGAGCCTTTCCCAGCAGTGGCTGCAGCTGGGTAGACTTTTCCCCTATGGAACAGCAGTGACCCATCCTCCTGTTTTTCAAGTTCTCAGATTTTGGTCTTAGATCAGATCCTAGGTTGTCCTAGGTGGCATATCAACACAGTGTTTCTGAGAAGTATTTCTCAAGTCTCTGATCAAAAAATAAATTTCAAAAGTTTTGGTCTGCAGTGAAAAGATGGTTAAAAGTGAATAGATGTGTTTTAGTTTGGACTTGTTCAAAACTTTTTGTATCTTACATCAAAAACGGTCGAGGGGATTAGGAGCTTCAGGGAGTAACACTGGGTTCAAGGCAGTTAGCAACTGTGTGACAAGAGACGGGTGCCATTTGGTGTGAAAACTGTAACTGAAAAGTGGATCATGAGAGTTCACTCAGCCTTTTACAGAGTCTGTAAACTTACACAAGATGTAGATTGTTACTATCTTATGGGATCAAGTCCACTGATGTTAATCAAGTATGCTCATCTTAGACAAGAAATCAGAAGTGCATCAACAGAAAAAATGTATATATGGTTGTTATATGTGTGCTCTGGGAAGCATCTGGGGAACAGCTCAACTTTACCATCTCTACCCAAGACACTGCAATAAGGAGACGATTTGTAATAAGGAGATGATTTGTAATAAGGAGATGATTTGTGAAAAAGTTGAAAAGATGGTTATACAAGTCAGCATAGAGTGGCCTTTGTTGGAGCTTTACACGATTATATGCTACATTCTACAAAGATAAGTGGTTCTCAGCAAAATTGAAACCATGTCTAAAACAGCAATTGAGACTGTCAGCCTTAACTGCTGCCTAATTCTGCAGGTGTGCTTCATTATCCTCCAGAATTCAGTTAGTTTTGATTACTTTGCTCTTTGTAGAAAATGTAAGCATGAAAATAAATTCTAAATTTTCAAGGGAGACAGCATTTGAAATAAGGTTTGTTTTTTTCAAAAAGTAACTTTTTGCAATATGTTATTTTCTTGCTCTGCACAGGCAGATTATTATTATGAATCCTGTTTCTTCTAAGATTGGGTATAATTTCTTTACTGCAATAAAGTGTGGACTATTTTGTGTTTGAGTTGTCTGTTTGTGGTTATTATTTTATCTTGCTATTACTTAGATTGAGACAGAGGTAAGATTATTGAAACACTTGTCTAGCACTCCTTTGCGATTTTGGAAACAAATTATGGGACCATTAAACTGTACATTCTTAATGACATCCTTTGGATGAATCTTGCAGCCAAGGTCTGGACCAGTTCTCCACTACTTAGCTTTCAATTTTAATTTTATAACATGCAACCCAGTTTCTGACAAATAGGACGTAATATTGGTGCATTCTGTGCTGGAGTCTTTCTCATCTTGTGGTCGAAACTGGCATAGTGTGAAGTTTAGCACTCTTAGGAGGATGAACATTTTCAAATACTAGACTACAGTGCTGCCCAGTGTTGCTTAAAATGAAATTTCTGAAGATTTGTTTTTTAATAGGGCATGGAACACAAAGGTTTTTTAGGCTGTAGTAGGAGCTTCTTCACACAGAAAAAGCTCTTTTACTTGCACAAGACTTTCTTTAAAATATGTGAAAACCTGTTTGTATTTTTAAGTGAGTTAAACAGTAAGGAAACGGGTATTTCAATTGAAATGCATCTTCTGTTTTCCAACACCTCTTAAGAGTACTTCAGAGGTTTGCCAGGATGCTTGCCAGATATGTCCTAAGGATTTAGTGATGCCTTTTGACATTTGGAGCAGGAACACCAAGATTCCCAGCATTATCACGATGCAATGCCAGACCAATAGGCAATGCCAGAACTTGGAAGGACTTTAGGAGCTTTGATAAATGGTAATGCTATAGTTATAAATGGCAAAGCTCTGAAGGGGTTGTATAAGAGTTTTCTTCAGGTTCATACTTTTAAAAGTTGTATAAATGTCTCACTTTGGACTTGGTAATTACCTCATAAACACAGGCATTTAAGTCTAGCCAGATATTCCACAAAAACACTGAGATTTTCATGGTATACTTGCCCTTTTTTTGTTAAAACACCTGAGTAGACAGGTACCTCATTTCTGTCCTGTTTCTCTGTGTGTTGGTGTGCCTTGTGCTGTGCCCTTGGTAGCATAGGACCTCTAACACACCCACCTGAGGTACTTTTGCTGCAACAACTTTCTGTGGGGCTAGTCCCAGCATGCTGACAATTCCTGCTGGCAAAGTTGTCTTTGAGCTGAGAAGAAAATGTATTGGTACCATTACCAAACTCTAGTAGATTAATGGAAAATATGAGTAAAGAAATTAAATGTAAAGACTTTAATGCTGTAATGCAAATGATGAAAAGTAAATATAAAAGAAAAGGTATATTAATGCTAGCTTTTAACTCACATTAGTTCTTAGTTTTGCTTTGTTCTAAGTTTTCAAAGCAGCTGAACTTGCTTCAACCCTATTATTTGGGCTTCTGGGGTTTTTTCCCCTCAAGGTTAAATAGCATCTGTGTTACAACTTCAAAGTCCCAGTTAAGATTTCCCAACTGTGAGTTTCTCTTATCCCTGTAGCTTAATGTTTCCAGACTTGGTTCAGTGTTCTAAAAAATTGCTTTCCTTTAATCATGAAATAAGCTGAAGTTCACCCAAGTAGCCAGTCACATCCACTAAATCCCTGGGAATCTTTGTCCAGAGGCAG